CTTTTTACCGGTAAAAAGTACTAATGTGAAATTTTAATCATTTTATGTATTCCACCTAAACGCTAAAGTAAAAAGCAAAGCTCTGTACAGCTGAAATGCAATCATTTTCAAAGTCATTTTCAAATATTATGTATGCTTTCAGGTTTCTGATGATGTACTAAACTTACAGCTTTTCTTTTTCAAATGTAATTTGTTACAGTGTATCTGTTTTGTCAGAGGCCCCGGCATATTAAACCCACAATATCATGAGAAGACAAGCTTGAAGTGAACACAAACACACATACCAGATAAAACCCAGCCATGCGGTATCTAGATTGACCGTACTTCACGTTGAGGAAGAGGAAGATGTGAATAGCTCCCAGAACAAGATTGAAGAGCCTCCATCGGCTTGTTGACCTTATGATATCCGTCTGCTGGGACACCATCCAAAAAGTTGCTCCCAGCCAGTGGACACCTGAAACAGACACAGTCCTATTATGCTTTTTCTTTTTTTTTGTACACTGTTACAGTGATGGATGCTCGTATTAAACAGGTTCAACGTTTCAAACAGTTTTTCTACTGTTCGTTCTGTGTGATGTCAAAGACAGAGGCTATCCTTAGCTGCCCACAACTGGCTGTGAAGACTCACCGATGACCCCGAGGATCCACTGTTTGAAGATACGTGTGAAGAGCATGAGAATGGCAAACCTGGATCCCAACATACTGACCTGCCGAAAGAGAAACCATACGTGTACCAAAAACACAAGCAAAACAACAAAACACATGCTTATGACATGCCAAACACAGACGCAGTAGCATTACTGATACTGTTAGATACTATGTTGTAAACACTGCTTGTTGGGAAAGCTGTTAAACATGCCCACCCTCCACAGCAGTCGACAGAGCATGGCAGCTGGTGTCATTTGCAAGTGTCCTGGTCTGATGAGTGAACAGGCTCTGGCATAGAGCACTAAGGCCCAGCCAAGAGAAACCAAACACACTGCAAAACACACTGAGGCTGGCGAGAGAGAGAAACAGTGTGTGTCAGAGTGAGACAGAGAGAGAGAGAGAAAGAGAACAAGGACAAGAAATATGAGTACACTGAAATACTGAATCATACAAGACTTAAAGATACAAAACTGTCACAGGCATAATGCTGGAATTGACTTTGAGAGCACATGCTCTTTGTGATCTAACCCCTAAGGAATCTGTCTCCTCCAGTTCAGGAACTGGGGATATTTTCTGATGTGATAGGCTGAAGTGTAAATGACTACACCGTGAAGCAACACTTAAACTGTACATTTTCTAAATTTAACCTTAGATCGCTTAGCTTGCGAATAAAAGTGGTCCTAGAAAAGAGCCCTGTTGCACACCTTTTTTTAATCTCAAAGCTAACAATTTCAATATTTTTATTTAAACAAAGCTACATTAATCTCAAAACTCTCTGAATAAGAGAGACCTTACAGCCAGCTAATGTCTCTCTTATTCATCTTAATTTAAGTCCCTACCATCTTCTCAAAACTATCTGAGAGTAAATTTGTTTATCTGTTGCTTAGCAGCGAGTAGTTAGCACACACTGGATTTATTTCACTAATAGCCCAATGTTCCATCTGGATATAATACCAAAAAATGAACAGGCAGACTAAGCTAGAAAAGACTACAACAATTATCCAACACTGAGATTTTTATAGCTGAAGGTTGTTAGTCCTGTTGCAGCACTTTCACATTAAACTTTTATTTCATCTTGATTGCATAGCCAAAGGCCATAAGAGAGGCATTATGAACCTATCCACTGCTGTAAGATAGGCATATGTACACTCTGACAGTAAGACATGACATCACCACCAACAAATACTATCCAGACTCCAAATTTACAACAACTGAT